ACCCCTTCAAGTTTCTGGCTATTCTAGAACTAGCTCTGTGGACCAGGTTGGCCTTGAACTCACAACCTGCCTCTGCCTCCCCGGTGGTGGGATTAAAGGTGTGCATCTTTACCACCGGGTTCTTTTGGTTTCAACACATGGTGTCATGTAGCCCAGGATGGCTCAACTCACTGTGCAGCTGAAGCTGACCTTGAACTATGGCTCCTGCCTCCACCTACCCAGTGGCAGGGTTACAGCTGTGTGTTACAGGACCAGCCTGGCAACAGATCCACTTCCAGCTTCTACAGAGGAAGCTGTCTGTGCACAGAAAACAGTTTGCACTGAAAGGCCCTTCTCCATTCACATTTGGAGGGGCACACTCCAATGAACGCCGCCACACACAGCCTTTGCTCCTCGCAACCTCTCAAAAGCAACAAAGCAAGCTGACAAGGCCAAGTAGTGACTGATCCCCTTTATGAGAAAATCCAAATAGGAAAATCTGTAGACAGAGAGACTAGCAGGTGCCTGACTGCAGTGGAGGCCAACAGTTGATGGCTTAGTTGATGAGTTTCCTTTGGGGGCGATAGGACAGTCTGCAGCTAGATAGAGGTGAAGGATGTACAACCCAATGAACACACTTGTAGCTACCAAACTGAGTGCATATGGTGAAATGTGAACTAACCTGTATCTCACTGCCATAAACAGAAAAAATTATGGGGCTAGAGTTTTAGCTCAGTTGGCAGCATGCTTGCCTGGGTTCAATGCCATGAGCTGGGTGTGATGACCTGAGTTCCAATCCCCTGCACCCACTTAAAAGCCAGGTGTGCTCATGTACTGATGTATTCCTATAACCACAATGTACTAATAGACAGGAGGATTACTGTTGTCAGTCTAGCTCCAGGCTCAGTAAAAGACCCTGTTTCAGAGAATAAGGCAGAATGTTGGAGAAGAACAATTAAAAGTCCTCCTGAAGGGGTGGAGAGATGGCTCAGTGACTAGCTGGCCTTCCAGAGGTCCTGAGTTCAATTCCCAGCAAACCACATGATGGCTCACAACCATCTGTAATGAGATCTGGTGCCCTCTTCTGGCCTGCAGGAACACATGCAGACAGAACACTATACATAATAGAAAAAAAAAAATCTTTTAAAAAAAAAGTTCTCCTCTGAGCCAGGTGGTGATGGTCCACACCTTTGACCCCAGCACTCAGGAGGCAGAGGCAGGTGGATCTAGGTGAATCTGAGACCAGCCTGGTGTTAAGAGTGAGTTCTGGGCCAGACAGGGATGCAAAGAGAAACACTGTCTCAAAAAACAGGACAAAACAAAACCCTCCCTTCCTCTGGTATCTGTGTGAAAATGAGCTTGTGACCCCATACATATGCACACTAAAAAGAGGGGAGAGCTGGGCATGTTGGCCCACACCTGTGACCCCAGCACTCTAGAGGCTGAAACAGGGAGATGGAGAGAGTCCAAGGTCAGACTGACTACACAGCAACACTCTACCTCAAAAATAAAAACAGAAACCTTAAGCATTTTGTGTGTGTGTGTGTGTGTGTGTGTGTGTAAAAGGAGCAGGTCTTTTGTGGGCAGTGAAGACAAAGATGAGTTGAGACTAGGTAAGACCTCAGAGTGGTGGAGACAGGAAGGAAATAATCCAGGTAATCCAGCATTAAGATTTTTCTCGACTTATTTATTTAAAGTATGTGTATTTGTGTATGCACACATGAGTGTAATGTCCATGGAGTCTAGAAGAGGGTGTGAGATCTGGAACTAAAATTACCAACTACTGAATGGAACCCAGGTCCTCTGAAAGAACAGCCAGTGTTGTCAGACCCTGAGGTGACCTCCCTAGCCCCTGACTTGACACTCTGATGGAAGGAAATGATAGGCTAACTCTTTTTTGTTTTTTAAAGATTTATTTATTATACATACAGTATTCTGCCTGCATGTATGCCTGCACGCCACAGAAGAGGACACCAGATATCATTACAGATGGTTTGTGAGCAACCACATGGTTGCTGAGATTTGAACCCTGGACCTCTGGAAAAGCATCTAGTGCTCTTAACTCTGAGCCATCCATCTCTCCAGCCCCAATAGGTTAATTTTTTAGGAAACAAAATTCTGCCCCATCCTGTGGGATCATGTGATGGTTTTTAAATTTTTATTTATATGCATGCATGCATGCGCTGTGGTTCACATATGGAGGTCAAAGGACAACTTACCTTCCACCATGTGGGTGAACTCAGGTTGCCAGACTTGGCAGCAAGCACTTATACCTGCTGAGCCATTTCACCTGCCCTCATGGATGGTTAATAGAGCAGTGGTCCTCAACCTTCCTAATGCTACAACCCTTAATACAGTTCCTCATGTTGTGGTGACCTCCAACCATAAAATTATTTTCATTGCTACTTCCTAACTGCCATGCATCGTAATGTAAATACCTGACAAGCAGGATATCGCCTATGCCACCCCAAGGGGTCATGACCCCCACAGGTTGAGAACCACTGCAACAGTATTTATGAGATAGTGACACCCTACGTGTGTAGTGGGGAAAATATAATTTGGAAGAATTCGTGTGTGTGTGTGTGTGTGTGTGTGTGTGTATACACTCCACCTATGAAGGTTAGAGGGCAACTTGCACAAGAAAGCTCTCTTCCCACCATTTGGCTGCTGGGGGAAAGGAAGGAACCTCAAGACATCCGGCTTTACTGGCCAGTACATTTGCACCTTTACATGCTGAGTCAACCATCGTCTGGGCCGCCAGTTAATTTTTACTAGAGGAAAAGTCTGCTGTGTAGTCAACAGGCCTGGGTTTACTAATTAACATCCCTTTTGGGTAGGAGGCTTTTAAAAAAGTTTCTTTTCCAGGCGCGGTGACCCACACATCTTTAAACCCAGCACTCCAGAGGCAAGGACAGGCAGAGCAGCTCTATAATTTGAGTCCAGCCTGGTCTAGATAGTGAGCTTCCAGGCCAGCTAGAGTTACAAAGTGAGACCTGGTCTCAAAAAAAAAAAAAAAAGGGGGTGGGTGGGTGGGGGTGAGGGAGAAGGTACTCCACATTCTAATCATAATTTGTGTGAAACAAGCCTTATTCATGATGCCATGAGTTTGAATTGCCACTGGGCCTCCATAGCTCTGGGGCCTGGGGCTGTGTAGTCTTGACCACTTCTGTCTCATTTGGGCAGAAGAGAGAATCTGGGGAGTTGGATGTGACTGGATTATACATATGGAATACTTGTCATTGGTGAGAAATATTTAAATATGAAAGGGCTTGGTCTAATAGGAGAATAATAACTTCATCATTCATTTGGAAGTTATTAAGGACTGAGTAGCCTGAGTGCTTAGCATGTACAAGGTTATGAGTTCAGTCGCCAGCATCCAAAAACACTGACATATACTAACTATTAAGCAGGTGGTACATATACTATTAAGCAGGTAACCATTTTCAAAACAACCATCAGGAGGCGGGAAAGATGGCTCAGCAGTTAAAATTTCATACTGCTATTACCAAGAACCCAAGTTTGGTTCCCAGCACACATGTCAGACAGCTTGCAATGGCTTGTAACTCCAGCTCCATGTGTATAGCTACACACAGCCATATGAATACACACAATCAAAAATAAAAATACAACCAGGTTTGGTTGCACACACCTTTAATCTCAGCACTAAGGAAGCAGAGGCAGATGGATCTCTTATGAGTTAGAAGCCAGCTTGGTCTACATAGAGAGTTCCAGGCCAGAGGCCCTGCCTCAAAAAAAAAAAAAAAAAAAAAAGAAAAAGAAAAAGAAAAAAGTCAATGTGAATTCCTAATCAAAGGCGCTAATATTCCCATCCCCATTTAACAGAGAAACTGAAGTTTAAAGAAGGGAAACCAGAGATAGGCAAAATGGCTCAGCCAGTAAAGGTATTTGTCAGCAGGCCTCTATGACCAGCCATGGATTCTCATGAACCCACATGGTGGAAATAGAGAACTGATGTCTTAAAGCTGTCTTCTGACTTCCACATGTACCTGTGCATACACACAATCAACAAACAAACATACTTATTAAAAGTATTTAAAAGTGAAGCCACTGCGGCTGAGGAGATGGCTCAGTTGATAAAGAGCTTCCTGTGCAAACATGAGGACTAGGATCAAGAGGCGAGGATAGGCAGAGCTCTATGAATTTAAGCCTGTTCTATACAGTGGAGGACCTGGATTCAATCCCAAGAATGCTTGTAATCCTGGTGCAGGAAGATCCTAGTGGCCCACTGGTCAGCTAGCCTGGCCTAATCTTCAAACTTCAGGGCAATAAGTACTTATCTCAAAACACAAAGGTGGATGGCTCCTGAGGCCGACCTCTGGACTCCACACTCACATACACCAAGTGAAGCCACTGACTGGCCTAACTTCATCCGCTAGGAAAGAGGGAGGGCCCCAACTTGGACCCAAAGTTCTGTGGGCTCCACAACCTCAGGGCCAGAGACCAGGAAGGAAACGCGACGAAGGCAAGAAAGAGAACGTATGCATCTCTACTTCTCTTTTTCTCAGCATGGTGGTGCATGCACCCAACATAGGTGCTACCACAGAAGGTGGAGAGCTCCTTGATGGAGGGGCTCATCCCAGTCCTAGAGACCCCAAGTGTTCAAGCTATATCAAAGCCTCCAACCGAGAGGTGCCCCCCTCTCCCGGCCCGCCACCCCAACCAAACACACAGTAGGCGCTCAGGTTGCCAAAGCAAAGGCTGAGACCCCATCGCTCCCTGGAAAGGAGAACTCGGCCCAGATATCTCTGAGGCAAGAGAAGTGGGAGGCAAGAGGCCCTCGAGGCCAGGCCTCGCGGGGACCCGGGCGTCCCCAATGCCTGGCTCACAGTGGGAGACCATTGAGACGCGGCGGGTCAGCGCGCGGGCGTCACGCGCTCCCGGGGGCTGCGCTTGACCCGGGCTGCAGCAGGCCGCGACCGTCCCCGGCTCGCGTGCCCCCCCACACACCCCGCTTCAACGGTCTCCCGGTCCCACAAGGTGACCGCGGGCGCGCCGCCCACCTTCTGAGCCGCGCGCACGTTGTCCTCTCCGAACAGGCTGCTCACGCTTTGCGAGAAGGTGCTGGCCGCCCGCCGGTGGCTGTTCTTGTCCGCAGTCCCGCGGCCCCGAGCCCCCTGCGCGCCGGGGGCTACCAGCGCCAGCAGCAGGAGCGCCAGAAGCAGAAACAGCAGCAGCAGCCGCAGGCCGGCATGGGCCTGGGGCTCCTGGGACGCGCGCGCGCCCATGCTCGGCCTCGGGAAGAGGGTCTTGGGGCTAAGGGGGGGGGGAGAGGGCGGAGCGCACAGACACCGAGGGCTCCGGGCCGCACCGCGTGGGCGCGCCGTCGCCCCGCCCCGCCTTACAGCCCCGCCCCGCCCCGCGCACGAAGCCCCGCCTCCCTCCCGCAGCGCTCCCCCCCCCTCTCCCGCCCCGGGTCTCGGTACCCCTGGAGCTGAGAGTATCAACTCTGCAATACACCGCAGCGCATGCGGGCCTTGCAAAGGCTCCTTCCTGGGATGGGCCCTTGCAAAGCGCTTGGGAAACCGAAGGGCAAGTGTGTGTCACCTCCCCGCACCCCAAAAGCAGGCCATGTGGAGCACGCGTTCATTCGTCCTCAGGCCCCTCCTCCACGGATGGCATTTCCGAGCTCTGAAGTGGTTGGACAGAGCAAGTTGATGATGGGATAGGAAAGGCGAGTTGATGTGCTGTGCGAGGAGGGAACGGGAGAAGTGGTTTGGTATTGTGCAGTCCTTTACAAAGCATTTGATGGGATCACAGGGTGTTCCTTAGGTCTCAAGTCAAAAGACGGGGGGGGGAGGGATTGGGGGGAGGGTGTCTAGGGTTGGTCCTGCCAGTCAGTTCTGGTATCAGGAAGTACCCGCGCCACCTAGAGGGACTAAAGGGCGGGAAGACCTGAAGAGTCCAAACTTACCACGGGAGCTGTAAGGATGAGAGGAATTTACAATTCAAAATTCAAGGCTTCCTACAGGAAAAGCGACTGGGCTTCTTATTTGCCTGGTATGGCAGGCAAGAGGACCAGAGGACTATGGGTTTGAAATATTTAAGAGCCACGATAATCATATTGGGTTTACAGGCATGGTGATGTGTGCCTGTAAACCCAACCCTAGAGAGGCTCTAGAGGGAGAAAGGAAGGCCAGGGCAGGCCAGCCTAAGTTATCTCCAAAAAATAAGGTGGGGTACATGGGAGGGGTTGAAGGCAGGCAAGTGAAGAGTGAAATTATATATTTTAATTTAAAAATGATGATAGCCAAACAGTGGTGGCACAAGCTGAGGCAGGTGGGTCTCTGAGTTGGAGGGCAGCCTGGTTTACAGAGCAAGTTCCAGAACAGGCTCCAAAGCTACAAAGAGAAACCCTGTTTTTTAAAAAAAATTAAATTTAAAAATAAATAAATAAAAATGATGATAGTAAAACAATGGCTCAGGTCTGTCTCTCCAGCTACAGAAGGCTGAGGCAGGAAAAGAACAAATTCACAGCCTGCCTAGGCAGAATGAGTTGAAACCCAGCCTGAGCAACCTAGTGAAACCTTGTGCGAAACATTCATAAAAATAAATCTCTGTTTTAAAGGACTAGAGATGTAGCCTAGCTGCAAGACACTTACTTGCCTAGTGTGTGGAAGGCCCTATGTCCAAGAGCCACAAAAATTAAATTAATAAAATGCAGGAAATGCCACCCCAGCCTATGCAGCAATTGCTCCCACGGAGGGGATTATGGTACTTGGCAGGCAGGAAGGAGCTTCCTCTGAGAGTCTTATCTAGGGCTTGTCCATTCCCTGAAATCTCCCAGGAAACTTTGCCACAGCCCAGCCCCTATGCTGACAAATCCTCCCAAGACTTTGACTATCCTCTGGAGCTTTATCTACAAGGCAAGACAACCTTCACCCTAATGCCCTTCTCCTCAGCCTTGCATAGCTCACCCTCCACCCTGGCCCTTCTTTGGTCTTTTATTTATTCATTTAATACAGCTTTCTGTCTGCCTGTATTCCTGCACACCAGAAGAGGGTACCATGTGGTTGCTGGGAATTGATCTGCCTGTCTCTGCCTCCCAAGTGCTAGGATTAAAAGCATGTGCCACCGCTGCCTGGCTTTGATTCGCTTCTTTATGGGTTGTCTCTTCATATATTTTTACTGATATTTTCATGTGATTTTTTTTTTTTCCCTTTGAGACACAGTCTTAGCTCTAGTTGGCCTGGAACTCTGAGACTCACCAGCCTGGCTATCAGGAGTTCTGGAATTAAAGTCAGATACCAGCACATTGTGTTAAAACTTTAAAAGAGCTAATAGCAGCATACAACTTTAATCCCAGCACTGGGGAACAGGCAGGCAGATCTTGGTGAATAACATACCAGCCTGAGCTACACAGTGAGACCCTGTCCCCAAAACAAAGTATTTTAGAGGGAGATATAATACAACCCCCCCCAGAGAAATAGGGTCTCACTATGTAGCCCTACCTGACCTGGAACTGAATATAAACCAAGCTGGCCTCAAACTCAGAGACCATCCACCTGTGTCCACACCCTGTCCTTGAAGTGCTGGAGTTCAAAGCATGTACCGCCATGCCCAGCAAGACTTTTTTCTTTTAATTATGTGTATGTCAGTGTTTGGGTATGTGCACTCAATTGCAGGTGCCCTCAGAGGCCTGAGGTGCTGGAATCCCTGAAGCAAGAATTTCAGGCAGCTGTGACCCACTCACTATGGGTTCTGGAAACTGAATTCTGGTCCTCTGCAAGAGCAGTGTGAGTTCTTAACTGCTGAGCCATCTCTCCAGACACCCCTTATGAAATATATCCATGCTGCTGTGGGTGCCTCTTTCTTCTTAGTGTCTAGGATGTTCTCTGTATCTTATTATTTACATGTTATCTTACATGTTATCTTATTACATTTATCTATTTATTTTTGTATGTGTGTGTGTGCCACACTTTGTGTGTCCCTGTGGAGGACAATTTTAGAAAGTCAGTTCTCTCCATCTACCATGTGGTTTCTGGAGATTGAACTCAGGTCATCAGACTTTGTGGAGTGTCCTTTCGTGGGCTAAAACAGTGAATATTTTTAATCTCAGCACTCAGAAGACAGAGGCAGGCAGATCCCTGTGAGTTCTAGGCCAATCTGATCTACCTAGTGAGTTTTAGGATAGCCAGAGCTATGTAGAGAAACCCTGTTTCAAAAAAAAAAGTACAGATGTGGTGCATGCTTTTAATCCCAGCACTCAGGAGGCAGAGGCAGGCAGATCTCTGTGAGTTCAAGGCCAGCCTGTTTTAAAAAGTGAGTTCCAGAACAGCCAGGGCTACACAGAGAAGCCCTGTCTCAGAAAAAAAAAAAAAAAAAAAAATGTGTGTGTGTAATCCATTATTGAACTCAGATAGTCAAGGTTAGGAGTCAGTTTTCTTTACCTGCCAAGCCATCTTAGACCAGGCTGGCCTCAAACTCACAAAGACTGCTTACCTGCCTCCACACCCCCTCCTTTAAGTGTTGGAGTTTGAAGCACATACACCCATGCCCAGCAAATTTTTTTAAAATTATGTGTGTGGGTATATGCACTGCATTCAATTGCAGGTGTCCTCAGACTCCATAATTTTTTTTTTTTTTTTATTCAAAGACAGGGTTTTGCTATGTAACCCAAACTCTGCCTCTTTCTCCCTTTTTGCCCTTTCCCGTCCCCTTCTTTTTTGAGCTAGGGTCTCAGGTAAGCCAGACTGCCCTTTAGTTTACACTATAGACAAAGCCAGCTTTGAATTTCGCCTTATCTTTCTGCTTCCCTTTCAAGAGTAGAGATTTCAGTGTGCCACCACCCACCATTCAAATTAATTCTTAAACAGAAAAAGTTTAAGTACAATAGAACTATTCTGCTTGCAAGGTAATTACAGGGTTGAGAAATGCTTCCGAGTACGCCTCAGACAAAGTGACAGAGTGAGTTTTAAACCCTTTAATAAAATACCTTCTAGCCAGGCAGTGGTATTCCAGAGCCAAAGGCAGGCAGATCTCTGTGAGTTCAAAGCCAGCCTGGTCTAACAGAACTGGTCTACAGCGTTTCAGGACAGGTTCCAAAGCTACAGGGAAACTCTGTCTTGAAAAACCATATAAGTAAGTAAATAAATAATAAATAAAATGCCTCCTTTTTACATCTTCTGTTCCTGCTGTGGAAATATTTTACACTTTTTCCTGTGGATATCAGAAAACACAGATGAGCAAAAGAAGAGAGATGTTGGAAGTAGGGGCAGAGCTTTATTTTTCATGTTTAGTCAAATTAGTACTAAAGATTTATTTTATTTTTATTTCTTTACGTGCACATGCCTTGCCTACATGCCATTCATGTGTATCCTTTCAGAAAAGGTCGCTGGAGTTAGGAATGGTTGTGAACCACTATGTAGGTGCTGGGGACTGAAGGCAGGTCCTCTGCAAAAGCAACAAGTGCTTTTAACCGCAGAGCCACCCTCTCTAGTCCCTCCACCCCATTTAGTGACAAAGTTTTACTGTGTAGCTATCTATGTAGACCAGGATGGTCTTGAACTCACAGAGATCTGCTTATCTCTGCCTTCTGAGTGCCGGCTGTGATTAAAGGCACGTGCTCCCACCCCTGGTTATTTGTTATTTTTACATGTTTGAGTGTTTGTGAATGTACATTAGAGCAGTTCCCACGGAGGCCAGAAGATGACGCCGGGTCACCTACAACTGGAGTTACAGATGGTTGCGAACCGTCTTTCTGGTTGCTAGGTTCTCTGCAAGAAGCAGCCACTGCTCTTAACCGCTGAGCCCCAAATTCTTCAGTCCCAAATTAGTATGCAGTACATAAATCTTCAGATTGCACCTAATAGGACTGACTGCTTGATCACACCCACAACCCCCTCAAGCACTCCTAGGGCCGGCCCCCTTATTTACATAGGCCGCGCCCACAGCCAGACTGCGCTCCGCCTCTTCCGCTACGGTCTCCCTTTCCAGCCAGTCGGGCTTCCAGCTCCGCCCCTCAGCGGCTGAGTCTCGGCTCCCGCGCGTGCGCAACCCGGAAGTCTTGAGCCCTGTTTCTGGTTCTCAGTGAGCTTCGCTGAGGGAGCCGCGCGCGTGGCGGAGGCGCCATGGGGAAGCTGCGCCGCCGCTACAATGTGAAGGGACGGCTTCAGGCAGAGCCGCGGCCCGCCAAGGGCCCCGAGCCACCCCCTGTGCGGCTGGAGCTCGAGGGTGAGGAGCCGAGGAACGGGAGGGTCGTTGGAGTGGGTTCCATGTGACTGTGGCAGGGGGCGTGACAGCACGTCTGTACTGCGATGTGCGGACGCTGCCGGGAATTTGGTGCATAGATGAGGTCTTTGCATCCATTCCCAGGCCTTCCACAATCATCTCCTTGCCAGAGATGCGTAAATAATGTGTTTCAGCCCAGACCTGTGAGCCGTGCACCAGGCTGCTTACAATGCTTGAGTGCTGGGGCACTTGTGAACATCCGGGACACTGTTCTGGGCTCCGGGAGTAGTGACAGCGGAATAGATAGATGGAAATCCCTGTCATTCCAGGTATGCCTGGTTACCTGGATCAGACGGGCAGAAAGAAACGGCCTTTAGTCCCAGCGCTAGGGAGGCAGAAACAAGCGGATCTCTGTGGGTTCCAGACCAGTCTGGTCTACAAGAGCTAGTTCCAGGACAGCCTCCAACTCCAAAGCCACACAGAAACCCTGTCTCGAACCCCCCCCCCAAAAAAAAAAAAGAAATGAGAGGTTGAGATCAGCCAGGATTACACAGTGAAACCCTGTCTACAAACAAACAAGAGGCTGTGTATGTGAGAGATAGACCTATACACCTAGCACTGGGGGGCCAAAGCAGGAGTGATGTGACTCTGGGGCCAGCTGAGCTTTGTAGCATGGACCAGGCCAGCTAGAGATACAACACAGGATCCTGTCTCAATCCCCACCTTCTAAAATAGAACAGAGGAAGTGTGTAGGTAAGGAAGCTGAGGAGGGTAGCGTGTAACAGAGGCATATTAAGCTGTGGCATTGCAGGTTGAAGGATGACGGGATGGGAGTCTGGAGATGATGCTTGGACCAGAGAGATGGTGTTTGGATTGTGGTATATTCTGAAGGAGAGCTGGCTGGATTTGCTGAGTCACTGGGCACAAAGGTGACAAGAGTGGGCATTGGACAGGCTACTGGAGAAGGTAGATGTGGACTGCTCAGGGGAGCCACATGAGCTCAAATTTGGATGTGAGTGCTTGGAGCCCTACAGGTGTTAGAACAGAAGGAAACCCAACAGCTATTGAATCAGCTGCTCAAGGCAGGCAAGCTCAGGGGTCATAAACAATTATGTGTACAGATTTCAGTCTGACTTGGCTCACTGAGAAGAATCCGGCTGTGAAAGAGGGGAATGAAGAACTGGGTGGAGAGTGCTGGCCTTGAACTTGTGAGGACTTATCCTTCATCTCAGGTGCTGCCTGGGGTCCTGAAGGGATGACAGGAGCGGAGCGTTGGTTAGCGTCTTAGAGGACGGAGTGAGCTGAAGCTGAAGAGCAATCCAGTAGATTCAAGTGTGACTTCCAGGCTCCTGAGACTAAACATGTTCCCAGGTGGAACTCCAACATCTGTTGGAGAACACCTCCTGAGGGTATTCTTTGATCCCTTGGTTGGACCAGGAAGGTGGTGAGTTTGTAAGAAAGGGCATCAGAGAAGAATCTGGAAGTGTGAGGTCTGTTGAGGTTGTTACATTTGGGGCTAGTCACTTCACATTCCTGGCCCTTTGTTTTCATAACTATAAGATGAGACCTAACTTTTCCTCAGTGGAATCATACACCCTCTGGCTCTTTGCTTGCGTGTTTGTTTTTTGTGGCTCTCAATTTAAAAGTAGATGTGGCACAGCCCACAGCTCAGCCTAGTTCTGGGCATACTTGAGGGTCTCAGGTATCCCAGGCTGGCCTGTGTAGTTAGGAGTGACTGAACTTTAGTCCTCTCCTCTTACCCTCTCAAGTGATTACAGATGTGCACCTCCATACTTGGTTTTACTTGGTACTGGGTTTGGAACCCAGGGCTCTGAATATGCTAGCCAGGTTCCCTATCAACTGACCCACATCCCTCAGCCCCTATAGAATATCATAGCTTGGTAATGATAACAGTTGTGACATAGATCCTTGTTCAGCACTCAGAGATTCATAGACCACCTAAAGGAGGTGGTGGCCTAATTTGATGCTTGTCATGAATGAGCATTGAGGACACTCTGTGACTTCCTGCACCTTAGTCAGACCTGCTGTCATTTTCAGACAAAGATGTTTTGAAAGGAGTAGATGCGAGCAATGCACTGGTGTTGCCGGGGAAGAAGAAGAAGAAGACCAAGGCACCACCCACATCAAAGAAAGAGAGGAAGCCGCTGACGAAGAAGGAGAAGAAGGTGCTGCAGAAAGTCTTAGAACAGAAGGAGAAGAAGAGCCAGGTACGTCTCACCGTGACAGGTCTGCCCCAGCTCTCCCCAGATCATGGTGGGGCTCGGGCATCTCTGTCCTTCCATGTACTCTCTGCAGCAAGGTTGTCTTATAGAACTTCCTGAAAGGAGGGGAGTGACACGGTAGCCACTAGCTACATGTGGCATCTGAGACTCTGAGCATGCTGCCCTGTTTTAAAAAGTGTCACATGTACTTGAAGAGGTATGTATACAAAATATGAATGTATAATGTTAGGTCAATGAAGCCAAAACTGCCACAGCTCACACTGGGTGAAAAAAAAAAGTTATTTGGGTATGTGTGTAATCCAGGGACTAGCCAAATGAGCAGTCAGGTCTATCCCCAGCTCAGCAGGGGATACTGTGCTTTATTCAGTGTGGTTGCTGGAGGTAGGGACAGCTAGTAGTCACATCGTGTAGTGACCCTAGATTTTGTAAGCATGAAGGCAGAGCTAAACTGTCTGTCCAGAAGAGTTCATGTGTGGTGACATCCAGTCCTACAGTTTAGAGTCTAGTATTAACTAGGTGGAATCCCCCTTCAAGCCTGGCCTCCTCCCAGCAGAAAGCCTGGTACCTGGGCAGTGGTCAGAAGCTGCCTGGTAACTGATGCGCTCTTGCCTTTCCCAGCGTGCCGAACTGCTCCAGAAACTGAGTGAAGTCCAAGTGTCGGAGGCCGAAATGAGTCTCTTCTACACCACGGCCAAGCTAGGCACCGGGGACCGCATGTATCATACCAAAGAGTGAGTCACAGATCCTGAGAGGGCTCGCAGCTCATGGCGTCTTGCATGGGTGGGAGTGTGTGGAGGGTTATCCATACTGAATGCTCCTCTGCCAAAGGCTGTGCACCTGCCTCGCATCTTACATGTCACAAGTAAGTCACATTTTCTCTCCTGTCATGGCTTGATCCTGCACTTCAAAGGCTCCACTTGTCATGAAGCTGCCTCTTGAGGTTTTCTTCGTGGTCACTTCGTGAACCACTTCGTGGTTCAACTACATAGGTGACATCAAGAATTCAGAGGCTTCACACTGAAAGCTCACTTCCCACCTGGACTTGACCATTGCAACTGTGGGGCCACCCCAAGCTGGCATTCCTGCAGGGCAGCACACCCCAGACCAGCATGCACTCTCAAATATACACACACAAACATACACCACAGCTTCTCTGGTTGAGTGTGCACTGCCCCAGCTTTGCTGGACCTGAGGTAGAATAAGGAGCAAAATGTTCCCTTCCCTTTGGAAGTTGGGGTGTTCATTAGCCAAATACTCATATATTCTGTACCAGAAAACTAAGCCAAAGGTAAGGCAGAGACAAGGGGATAGCTAGGAAAAGGACTGGCATCTGGGACTGAGCCCAGTGACACAGTCTCCCTGGTAGCTGACTTTGAGCAGACACTTAAGTGTGACGATCTGTGGGAAGTATTTCTCGGGGAAAGAAATAGCCAGTGCAAAGGGCCTGGGGTCAAAGGGGTGTGGCCCCTGGCTCATGTTGAGGGACCCCCATAGCCATATCAGATGTCCTGAGATCCCTGCCTGAAGTCTCTGCTCTCCCAGGAGGAAGCCTGACCAGCCAGCAGCCCAGGACCAAGAGAAAATTAGTAGCCTTGCTGGGGCCCACTGGAAGCGCCGCAGGTCATCATCAACAGAAGAAGAATCTGAGTCTTCTGGAGATTCAGAGCCTGAAGAAGCCACAGCTGCCCAACCTGGGGGCAGCACAGGGACAGATGCAGCACATCTGCCACCAGCTCCTTCTGAGGCCACGAATCCTGCACCCATCCTCCAGCCCCCTCCATCTGGGACCTCTACCCCTTCAAAATCACCAACCTCTGCCCCACCTCTACGCCTGGCCAAGCCTGCTGTCTTCATCCCTGTGAACCGCACACCTGAAATGCAGGTGTGTTCTTCTCTTTGTGGTTAGAGACACAGGTTAGTGGGACATCTTGGTGGAAAGGAGCCTTAGCATCTACTTCTAGGAACAGGGTCATAGTCATGCCCATCTTGTGGGGCTCTAGAGTGGGATGGGAGGTATAACAGTGTTTCTAGGGTTCAGGCTATTGCTTCTCCCTCACCATTCAACACCAATTGGCTATGTGTTTTATTTTACTTAAGTTTTATTTGGGGGTGGTAGATTTTGAGACAGGGTTTCTCTGTGTAACAACTTGGGCAGTCCTGGAACTCACTCTAGACTAGGCTGGCCTCGAACTCACAGAGATCCACCTGCCTCTGCCTCCCAGTTGCTGGGATTAAATCCATTTATTTATTTTGTTTTTTGTTTGTTTGTTTTTTGTTTTTTTGAGACAGGGTTCTCTGTGTAGCTTTGGAGGCTGTCCTGGAATTCACTCTGTAGACCAGGCTGGCCTCGAACTCATACAGATCCTGCTGCCTCTGCCTCCTGAGTGCTGGGATTAAAGTCGTACACCACTGATGCCCGGCTCTATTTTATTTTTTAAAAGACAATTTTTTAAATTTTATCTTATATGATAGTGTGGTTTGCATGCCTAAAGGTATGTACACCACATATGTCCCTGCAGAGATCAGATGAGGGCATTGGTTCCCCTGGGACTGTACAGATGATGGTTGTGATTTGCCGTGTGACTGCTGGGAATTCAACCCAGGTCCTCTGCCAGAGCAGCCAGTGCTCTTTTTGTTTGTTTGACTGATTTTTTTGGTTTTTTGAGACAGGGATTCTCCATAGCTTTGGAGGCTGTCCTGGAACTAGCTCTTGTAGACCAGGCCGGTCTCTAACTCACAGAGATCCGTCTGCCTCTGCCTCCCAAGTGCTGGGATTAAAGGTGTGCGCCACCACCGCTCAGCTGCAGCCTTTGCTCTTAACCACCAACCCATCCCTGGATAGTTCCTGGCTATCCATTTTAGCCACTGTGTCTCATGCATGACCTGTATGTGAGTGGGGTACCCTCTCCTGCTGTTGTGTAGCCCCTCCCTCTATCTTTTCCCACAGGAAGAACGGCTCAAGCTCCCGATCCTTGCTGAAGAGCAAGCCATCATGGAGGCGGTGGCTGAGCACCCCATTGTCATCGTGTGTGGCGAGACTGGCAGTGGGAAGACTACACAGGTGCCCCAGTTTCTCTACGAAGCAGGCTACAGCAGGTGGGGCTGGGCCAGGGATGTCCTCTACTCCCTGGGGACAGTGGACACTTAGGTTCCAAGAGCTGCTAAGGGCCTGAGTGCCAGGAGACACAATCCTGGCTCTACTGTGTGACAGCAGCCTCTCCAGGCCTGTTGTCAGCTATGAGATGGGGATGGTGACACTAAACTCAGTGGTCATGTGGGTTTAGTAACTAAAGCTAGTGCTTTAGTGTCAGGCACATGAAGTAGTGTGGTTCCTGGTGTTACTGTGGCCCCCTATGGGCCTCTTAGGACTACTGTGTCAGGTCACTGTTTTTAGTAACTTGTTCTCACCACTGTGGCTTGTCCCCTTGGCATGTGGCATTTAACAGGGATTAGCATGTGGGATGGTCAAGGGCCAAACTCCTTTAAGATTGCAGTCCAGGTGAGCCACCTAAGCTAAAGGGAACCCTCTCATATGTGCACTCAGTCTGTGCTCGTGGAAACTTTTCTTCCCGGGTTCTGTACACTCTGTGTGATTTTTTTTTTTTTTTTTTTTTTTCTACTATACCCTGCCATCCACCTCAACTCACTATGAAGTTAATTCAGTTGGCAGAAAAGTTGTCAAGGTGATGCAGGGTTCTAGTATTCTCTTCAGCTGGGCCTCCACTCTGTCAGCATTACAGGGTGTATTTGTTATACCTGTTATCTGAACTCTGGCCTTCTGTGGACTTAACAGCTTACACATGTACCTTATCTGTTCAGGAATGCCAGGCAGATCAGCCCTATCCTCTAGAGGAATCTTTCTCATCATAATAATATCCCTTAGAGATGTGTTCCAGCCGTATACCAAGTTCTGCTAGGTCCCCATCAGTGCTGTGGAGTATAGGCTTTCCCCTGGCTGTCCTATGACTGTGCTGCATTGACATTGGGCAAGTGATATTTGTACCCTGTGCTTTGGGTTTCATCTTCAGTGACTAGTGACCCTGGGGTGGAAATGACTTTGGGACAGACAGGCATGGTTAATGTGTCTTCTTCCCCAGTGAGGACAGCATCATCGGTGTCACAGAGCCCCGTCGAGTGGCTGCCGTAGCCATGTCCCAGCGGGTAGCCAAGGAGATGAATCTGTCACAGCGGTGAGGCCCTGATTCCTAGCCCCCTAGGGGATCTTTACAGTCTTGCTGGGAGGAGGGTGCAGGTGGGTGTCATTTTTGCCTCACTCGCACGGATGGTCCAGCACAGCCCTCTTAACCTGCTGAGGCAGGGGCTGCAGAGGAAGGGGCCTGTTGAACACCCAGCACTTGTATAGAACCTTGGCTGTGAGGAAGTGGCAGCCAGCTAATAAGCCAGTGGTATAAGGCCATGTAAACCCAGAATTCTTATTGTAAAACCCTCTGCCTGGGATTTATTTATATTTCTTTACATCGTGGTGCTGGAAATGGAACTTAGGGCCCTGCGTGTACTAGGCAGCCACTCTGCCACCAAGCTCCTCCCCAATCCTGAATTTTTAACTTTTTATTGTAAAATGTTTATGTGCCCATCAATAGAGAGGATAATGAACCCTAGATACCTGAGGGCCAGTGTCAGTAGCTACTGTCTGTTCCTAGCCCTGTACCATCCTCCATCATCTTGTCAGGGCATGGCTCTGGGAGTGAAGACCTGCTTGTTTCCCAGTGAGCTTTGCCACACTCTGCCCTAGATCTACAGTCTGTCTGGTGACATGAGTCTGGTTATCACCTAGTCTTCCCCGCATGCTTGGCCCCAGAGACCAAAGCTTGGGACGAGCACTTCTAGGGATGGTCCTTCCCTGTTTCCCTTGAAGGGGCCATGTAGCCCAAGCCCCATCCACCTGTAGCTCTGGAGATGTCACTAGCCCTGAGATAAATCTTCTCCCTACAGGGTGGTCTCCTACCAGATCCGCTACGAAGGGAACGTGACAGAAGAAACCAGGATCAAGTTCATGACAGATGGTGTGCTGCTCAAAGAGATCCAGAAGGTCAGTTGCCTATCCTGTGTCATACAGGACACAGCGGTGGAGAGTAGAGGGTCACCCTGGTGTCATCACCACTGCCTGGCATGTATGACTTTGAGCAGGTCCAGTCTCAGAGCTTCAATTCCTTGATCAGTGTGCTGGCCCCTTATAGAATCATTTTCAAGCAAAAGTTGTCAGTGATGGAGGGTACAGGGTCAGTGTAAGCAGAGAGGGCCTGGGCCAGTCAGCTTTGTTACTTTGCATACTCATTTTTGCTAGAGGGACTGGGATGTGGCTCAGTTGGTAGAGAGCTTGTCTAGCATGCAGGAAGCCCTGGGTTCCTGCCCCCAAACCACAGAAAACAACCCACATCATCCAAGCACATAGGACAGCTAGCTGTTCTCAACCTTCCTAATGCTTCGACCCTTGTCATGTTGTGATAACTTGTGGTAACCCTTCCAACCATACAATTATTTTTGTTTCTACTTCATAATTGTAATTTTGCTGTTATGAATCATGATATAAATATTTGTGTTTTCTGATGGTCTTAGGGGATTCCTATGAAAGGGTTGTTTGACCTAAAGGGGTCGCCACCTATTGGTTGAGAGCTACTGACTTAGGAGCTAGAGGCAGGAGAACAAAAATTTTAAAGTCATTCTTGGTGACAGTTCAAAGTTAACCTGGGATAACTAACCTGTCAAAAGAAAGTAAGGTGGAGAAAGACAGGATTTTTTTTTTTTTTTTTTTTTTTTGTTTTGTTTTGTTTTGTTTTTGAGACAGTGTTTCATTATGTATCTATCCCTGGCTGTCCAGGGACTCACTCTGTAAACCAAGCTGGCCTTGAACTCTGATTTGCCTGTCTCTGCTCACAGAGTGCTGGTATTAAAGACATGCACCACCCTACTCTACAACAGGAAATATTTTTTCAAAAGAAGAGAAAAAGGAGAATTTTCAGTGTGCAATAGCAGCCTGGCTTCTGGTCATGCACAATGACTACAGGCAGTCAGGATGCCTAGCTGCTTCTCCTATGGGCTTCTAGGAGTGTCTGAGGGATTTGGTCACATGGCTCAGTTCTGTGATTGTGGTGCTCTGGTGTAACTCCCACACCCCCTCAGGACTTCCTGCTGCTAAAATACAAGGTGGTGATCATCGATGAAGCCCATGAGCGAAGCGTCTACACAGATATCCTTCTTGGCCTCCTGTCCCGCATTGTGGCTCTCCGGACCAAGGTGTGTGGGAAGTCCACAGGGAGGGGACTTGTCAGGGGCTTGGTCTGGGAGCGGTCCCAGAAAACAGTTTTCCTAGGCATGAGTTATTGCCAATGCCAGGCCATATGATTCTGTGATGGCCCTTCTAACTCACAGGCCTTGATCCAATGTCATGCATAGTGAGTGACCTCTTCGCATCCAAGAGGCTCAGGCAAAAAGCTAAAGCTGGGAAGGCCTTGCTAGAGCCAGCTAAAGGGTACCCTCGGAGCTTCAGGCTCTGGTGGGTTTGTAGGGCTGCTGGTTTGAGCTCTCTGCTCCCTGGGCCTACTCCTCCCTCCCCAAGCTTGCTCCTCTTTCCAACTCTGTGCTGAGACAGTGGATTTGAGGAACCAGCTTTGGGGACATACTATCTGAAGGGAACTTGATGAGCAGCCCTGTTTCTCTCCTTGAACAGACCAGCTCAGTGGAGAAGTGGGTATTCTGGGGTATCATGTACCCAGCCATATTAAAGGCACTGGGGATAGACAGTGGCCAGGAAAGGGTCATCTATCATTCCTGCCCTCCTGGAGCCACCCTTTCACCAAGGTGGCAGGGCAGTAGGCAAATTCAAGATCTATGAGCTGAAGGTAGACAAAGAGACAGCATGAATACCAGGGAGGTCTAAGGCTCACTGACAGTCTCCCCAAAATATGAACTGAGAATGAAGGTGACTACGAGCAGGATGGACAGTGGGGTGAGGGTGAGGGGAGTTCCTAGCTCTGACACATCCACCTGTCTCTGCATCCAGCCAGTTCTAAAATATTTTTTGTCCCTCCAGAAAGAAACTGGTTCCTATAGCTAAGCCCTCCCCCATCCCAGTGCTGACCCTATTCTTCATTTGGCTGTCCCATTGCATCACACCATGGCCCCTTTAGCTGGCTTTATGTTCAGGGCTCTGGCCTCTGTCACCTGCAGAACCCCAGTGGACAGGCTTCCCTGTGACTGTTTCATTTCTGGGGGCAATCTGAGGAATGTGAGGTTATATGTGACCACGGGGCTGAGAGGTACATAATTCCACATGCACAGTGTCTGTGCTGTGCCTGAGTCAGCAGACTGTCTTCTGCAGAGGAACATGCCCCTCAAGCTGCTCATCATGTCTGCCACGCTTCGGGTAGAGGACTTCACCCAGAACAAGCGGCTCTTCACCACACCTCCCCCGGTCATCAAGGTAAGATTTGGATAAGCCCCTGCTGACTTCAACCTGACCTTGGCTGTGGGAACTGGCGGTCTTAGGGGTTGGTTTAGAGAAAGGAGTCTCTGGAATGAAGCATTCCCATACCTTTGTGGACCTGTCACAGGTTGAGTCCAGGCAGTTCCCTGTGACAGTACATTTCAACAAGCGGACCCCATTGGATGACTACAGCGGCGAGTGCTTCCGGAAAATCTGCAAGATCCACCGGATGTTGCCTGCAGGTGAGGCCTGATGGGCTTGGCACATCCCTCCCTCACTGAAGACTTGGGTTTGCCTTTCATCCCTCTGACAGCATAGGGCACAGTCAAACCACAGTGGTATGATGACTGTTCCCGAGACTTACCCCAGCCCTAGATGCTCCCCATCCCTACCCCCCGTGCACACACACGCACGCACGCACGCGCACACACACACACACACCTAAGGCAGAAGTGGGAGTATGAAAGCATCTTCTTGGATAGTCTCCTCTGTTCCTTTGATTCTGTTGGTTTTGCAGTCTGTCAGGTGCTCCTCACCACTCTGCTGGTCTAGGGTAATTGGCTCCTACCTGGTAGCTGTTTCCTTGACTCCTGGTTCTTCCAGCCCCTCAGCAGGCTGTTCTTGCAAGGGTAAGTTTTCCAAGTGACTGCCTGGGTTCTCTTTGCAGGTGGCATCCTGGTGTTCCTCACAGGGCAGGCCGAGGTACATGCACTGTGCCGCCGGCTTAGGAAGGCCTTCCCCACCCGATGCTCCCAGCCACAAGGTAACTGACCCACAGTCCCCCATTAAAACACTCCACCCCCATCCCTGGGCCTGGCAGCTGGTGCCATAGTTGAGATGTCAGCCTCCACTTCAGTGTCCTTGAGGAGAGCCTGCACCTTGTGCCCCCAATAATATGCCTATCATTGGCAGTAGTTTGGCTGAGGGTGACAAGAATAAAGTGCCAGCTGCCTGCATTGGCCACAGGCATCTCTTTCCAACCACCCTCTCCCCCCTTTCCAGAAAAGGAAGAGGAAAAGGACTCAGCAGAAGGGATGAGGAGGTTTAAGAAGTCCCGGACGAGGGCCAAGAAGGCCCAGGCCATGGTATGTAGAAGCCTGTAGAACCCTGTGCTGTCAAGTTGCCACCTTCACATAGCTGTTTGGGCTTAAGTATCACTAGAATGAAATGAAAGTAAAAGTCTATTTCATCCAAGGTGGCTGCAAGCCATGTGGGGTTCCTGGAGGCCACCCTGGTCCAGCCCCATCCCACAGCACAGAGTCCTGGTGGATAGTGCAGCTATGGAGGCTGCAAGTTGGGGATGTGTTATGATTTACATGCCTGTGAGGATCCTGGAGCATAAATAGAGCCATGGCTACTTGCTGAAGTGAGGAGAGCTGCTCTCTGAAGCTGTGGGGCAGGCCAGGGGAGGGACCACCCCAGGCATCCTGGATGCAGCTGGATGCAGCACCAGTGGTGTGGCTACTCAGTTATAGCTACTGGGTGGCTTCTACCCTCTTTTACACTTAATGTGGGCCAGGCAGATTGTTTGACTCTGTGTACATAGCTCAGAGCAGCCTTGGGGGATGTACCCCATGCTTGTGTCTAATTTATTTTTTTATTCAGATAGAATGTCACAATGTAACCCTTTTAGGTCAAGTGCTTCCTGTGTAGACCAGACTAGCCTTGAACTCACAGGGAACAATTTGTCTGTGCCTCTAGAACACTGGGATTAAAATTTTGTTCCACCATACCTAATTTCTGAAAGAAAGAAGTATTTCTTTGGATAGATTTTATTTTATGTGCATGAGGGTGTGTGTGTGTGTGTGTGCACGCACGCATACCTGGTACATGGGAGGTCAGAAGAGTCAGATCCTCTGGAACTAGAATTTGAAGTGGTTGTAAGCTGCCATGTAGGTGCTAGAAATCAAACCCAGGTCCTTTTGTAGGAATAAGTGCTATTAACTTCTGAGCCATCTGTCCAGCCAGCCCCCATACGTAATTTTGAATCTAGGAAAGCGAGGCAGAAGTTATTGTTCAGTGACCTCACCTCAGAGGTCCCTGTGGGGAGATGCCCTCTATGAGCAAGTTGTTATTTCCCCTGTGTGTGGCTTCATTTCATGGTGTTGATGCCTCCTCACCCAGGCATTGCCCCAGATCAACCTGGACAATTACTCTGTACTACCAGCGGGAGAAGGTGACGAGGACAGGGAGGCAGAGATGGATGACGAAGAGGAGGCCCTGGGCTCTGACTTGGATCTGGACCTGGGTGACAGTGAGGCAAACGAAGGTGTGGCCTGGCAGAGCTCTGCCCTCAGGTTCATTGCTTATTGATTTCAGCATGGGTCTGCTGAGCCCCTCTTGGCATCATAGGCCCTATTGGCCCTGGGACCAGAAGAATCTAAGTCCCGTCCTCATACATGTGACCAAACACATCCTGGTTCCTCCTGGTATGTGAACACAGAAGATGGGCCTTTCTGATAGCTCTGTCTACTGTGGTCTCCTGAGGTTCTAATATTTGTCATGGTAGTGCCAGGGACACCATCCCTGGGCTGGCCTTTCGTGGGCAGACACAGAGAAGGCATCTTGATTCTCAGGGCCTCTTGAGGATGTTGATGGGACAACTCCTTGTTACACAGCTTGGTAGCACAGACCTATGGTCCCAGATGCTCAGAAGGCTGGCTTGAATTTGCCATAGGCTGTGTATCTTTAGAGAGAGAAACTTACGTGGAAACTTTTGTGTCCAGAAAGGACTCCTTCCATACAAACTCAGTCTGCCACACTGCCCAAACACATACCTGGGGCCAGCTTGCTCTCGGGATGCTGCTCTCGGGATGTGGTAGGCATCACAGGCCTATGCTGGGCAGCAGTAACAATTTTCAGGAGCTTCCTAGTACTGTGTCTAAACATGAGCCCTCAAACCTGGGGGTGAAGGGATGGGAGCTGCCAGGCAGCTAGAGGCAGGCCTATGCCTTTGGCATCTGTACAAACCAGACTCCGGTGTCCCATGCTTGACCACAGGTGAGCAGCCAGATGCCTCCCTGCCCCTTCATGTGCTCCCGCTCTACTCTTTGCTGGCCCCGGAGAAGCAGGCACAGGTAAGGGGACAGCTCTAGGGAGCTTTAAGATGGGGTGGGTCAAGCCTCGGGTGCGTTTCCTCCAGGTGTTTACTGGCCAGTCCCTGATAGTGGAGGGAATGATAGAAACCACTCCTGATGGTTGTGGTTAGAGCTTGGTGAACAACAGTGGTGCTTGCCTAGCTCAGAGCAATGTGTCCACTGGCTGTCTCATAGATTTTCACCTGATTCTGATGTTGTCTTGCCCACCCCCTCTTCCCAGGTCTTCAAACCTCCTCCAGAGGGGACAAGGCTGTGCGTAGTGGCCACCAATGTGGCTGAAACATCCCTGACCATCCCTGGCATCAAGTATGTGGTGGACTGTGGGAAAGTTAAAAAACGCTATTACGACCGTGTCACAGGCGTGTCCTCCTTCCGTGTCACCTGGGTCTCCCAGGCATCCGCTGACCAGCGGGCTGGTCGTGCAGGCCGGACAGAGCCAGGCCACTGCTATAGGTAGGCCACTTGCTCCTGCACCACACGAGTTGGGATGCAGAACCGCTGCTGTCCCCCTACAGTGAATAGGCCCATGTCCTCAGAGCACCACAGCCCGTCCACACTGCTGGCTGCTTTCCCCTGCCCTTGTCTGCTATGTTTGTGATGGGTGATCCACAACTACTTCAGAAGTAAGCCACTGTCTAGAATGGCTTCACAGTTGGGCTGCTGTCACCGCCATCGAGGCAGTGCTCCTGAGAGTGGTTGCTCCCTGTGGACACCGCTATAAGGTGTTACCTTTTGTCAGGCTCCAACACCCAGTAGATGTGTTCTGGGGGTCATCTTAACAGGCTTTCTCCTGGTGGCTGTCACTTGTCCACTGCCTTGTCGCATTGTTACTATCCATCTCTGCTGCACTTTGGGGTTGCTGCTCCTTTCTCCTGTGGTAAACACACATGTCCCTGGGTTAGTTTGCCTGTGTTTGTCCTTGTCCCTGAAGAGCTCTAGACTCAATGCTTAAGAATGGAGGAACTAGCCAGGCGATGGTGGCATGCGCCTTTCATCCCAGCACTAGAGAGGCAGAGGCAGAGGCAGGCAGATCTCTGAGTTCAAGGCCAGCCTGGTCTACAGAGCTAGTTTCAGGACAGGCTCCAAAGCCTATCTCAAAATAAACAAACAAAAAGAGTAGAGGAACTAGCCAGGTGCCCAGGTTCTTACCTGACATCTTCACCCCATTTTTTGTTTGCAGTCACATGAGGCAGGGTCTCCTGTCAGTGGCTTTGGATCTTTGTGCACTGACTGCCTCTGTGCCTTCTCAGGAAGTGTCTGCTGAGACCTTTCCTCAGTTCTAAATTAGGCTCTGTGTCTGCTGGTAGCTGGGAGGACTCTTCTGAAGTCCAGGAGATAGACCCTCATCAGTTATGACCCTGGTCACTTTGGGTAGCTTATTGCCATTCTCCCAATACCATTTTAGTTTACAGAAGGGAAAACTTAGAAAAGAGTAGTCAGGGCAGCTGGAGGTGGCACTCACTGCCACTGGTGGGGGGAGGGCCTGTCCCTTGAGTGGCAGGCATGGTTGGGCCCAGGTCTGGTTGACTTTCTTCTTTCTGGCCCTTATTTCTCCCCACTTAGGCTGTATTCCTCAGCTGTTTTTGGTGACTTTGAGCAGTTTCCTCCCCCTGAGATCACTCGAAGACCAGTAGAGGACTTGATCCTGCAAATGAAAGCCCTCAACATCGAGAAGGTTAGTCTTGACCAGAAACGTCCCTCATGCCTTTCCAGTCTGTCCTCAGATTTGGCCAGTCTGTCATCCCATAGCTGCGCCTGCCAGGGAAACCAAAAGAAGTGGTACCCTGAGGTTTGTCAGAAGGTGCCCTGGTGGCCCTCAGTCTCTAGTGAGGACAGCTTTTCTGTCTCCCGGGGGACAGAGGCTTATGGACAGACAGCTAGGTCTCACACTGTTCATGGGCACTCAGAGATGTCCTGATGAACCCTGGATGATGGCTTCACTGGTGTAGCCCTAAGATGGAGTTGGACATTCCTGTCCCCACTCCAGAATGAGGTAGCCCATCGAAAAGGTTCTGCTTATGCTGCATACCATGCCCTAACACTGTCATGTGGAAACCAAGGCAGGGAAGAGTCACCCTCTGTTTATCTGGTCTGGTCCTATCCCAGAACACAGAAGAAAGTTAAAAATGAAGAATATGCTTTTTTTTTTTTTTGAGACAGGGTTTTTTTTCTGTGTAACTTTGTAGACCAGGCTGGCCTCAAACTCATAGAGATCTGCCTGCCTCTGTCTCCTGAGTACTGGTATTAAAGGCATGCATGTGCCGCCACCACCACCCCGCTTGAAGAATGTACTCTTACTTGGACTAAGGAGATGGCTCAGCATGTAAGGCACCTGCTGCCAAGCCTGAGGATTTAAGTTTCCAGGAACCACATGATAGAAGGAGAAAGCCAACTCCCACATGTTGATTGCTGTGCTCCGTCCATACTTATTCAGTGGCACATGCGCACTTCATACACATACAAATAATTAAATTTCAAATAAAAAAAACTTTAAAAATAAAGAATATACCCTTGGCTAGGGATGTAATCTGATTGGTTGAATGCTTGCCTTACACACACAAAGGACTAAGTTTGATACCCAGCACTGGGATATAGAAACACTCAGGATATAGATACAGGTAGATGAGAAGTTCAAGGTTAAGTTAGACATAGTGACACACATCTATAGCCCCAACACTTGGAAGCCTGAGGCAGGAGAATTGCAGTGGCTGAGGCTAGCCTGAAACATGGGTTTCAGCACTAGAATGAAGCCACGTCTTTTCTCTTTGTTTTGAGACAGGCCTGATGTAGCCTTGATTGCCCTGGCTCCATATGTAAATCAGGCGCAGATTCACAGAGATCTGCCTCCTGCTGCTGCCTCCCAAGTGCTGGGATTAAAGGTGTGCACCACCATGCCTGGCAAGACCCTGACTCTTAAAATAAAAAGACTGTACCCTCACTTTGTGCAGTGGCACAGGCCTACGCCTACGCCCTCATCGTGGGATGTGTTCTGGTGAAGAGATCTGTCCCTTTAAGAAGGAGTGAGACTCCCTAGTGATTTTTTTTTTTTTTCCTTTGTTACAAACAACTGATTCAGAGTTAAAAAAAACTCACATACTTTAGGTCATCGTGAGAACTTCACATTCAAACCTGTGGCCATTGTTATGTTTTTTCCATGCATAATACTGTTTTTCTAAGTATTACAGGCTGTTTTTGTAAATATTACATGATGATTTGTATGTTGTTGATTTTAAACTCCCAGATTTTAGTTGACAGGGATTGCCCCTGGCACACAGTAGGCTTAATTTGGGGTCATCCTAGCACGTGGACCTGGAAAATCTTGACAACTTTCAGAGCACTCAGGACCCATGTCTCAGTTATCATGACCCATGGCCTGGGGACAAGCTGGAAGGAAGAGAGACCAGTGCCTGGTATAGCCAGTGTGACTCATGGGGCTTGCTTCTCTGCATCACTCTGCCCCTCTCCTTCCTTCCTGTACCCAGGTTATCAACTTCCCATTCCCCACACCACCCTCCGTGGAGGCCCTCATTGCCGCCGAGGAGCTGCTGATTGCACTGGGGGCCCTGCAGGCACCTCGGAAGAATGAAAGGTAGGACGGGGAGGGTGGACCCAAGCATGCACAGAGCCTCCATGTACAGGTTCTATGGCTCCTACCCACCGTGACTCTTGTCTGCAGAATGAAAAAGCTACAGATGTCACAACTAAGCAGCCCCATCACTGCACTGGGACGGACCATGTCCACCTTCCCCGTGGCACCCCGCTATGCCAAGATGCTAGCACTGAGCCAGCAGCATGGCTGCCTGCCCTATACCATTGCCATTGTGGCTGCCATGACTGTGCGTGAGCTCTTTGAGGAGCTGGATAGGTAGGTTGGTAACAGCCTGGTCCCTTGGAGCCCTCTGTACTATCTTTGATCAGTGGTGGCCTGGGGAGCCTATATCTGGAAGAAGGGATACAGCAGTGAGGACCTGGAGATGCTGATGGTCAGAGGGTCCATGAGGGCAGTGGGTTGAAGCCCAGTGGGCAATGTGTATGTTTACAGACCAGCTGCCAGCGAAGAGGAGCTTGCAGAGTTGAAGGGCCGTCGAGCCCGTGTGGCCCAGATGAAGAGGACCTGGGCTGGGCAGGGGGCATCTCTGAAGCTTGGTGACCTCATGGTGCTACTGGGTTGGTATCACCTCCAGGGCATGAAGGAGGGTGATTGATAGCTTGGAGTAGGTTAGAGCCAACTAGTGAGAACACCCTACCTTGCCCCACAGGTGCTGTGGGAGCCTGTGAGTACTCCGGCTGCTCACCCCAGTTTTGCCATGCTAACGGACTTCGATACAAGGCCATGCTAGAGATCCGGCGCCTGCGTGGCCAGCTGACCACCGCAGGTACAGCCCAGGTGACAGTGTGGGCAGACATCTGGTCCCCATTCCATACATGTTTAGGTTTGGTATGATGGAGACTCAACACTTCCTCGTTTGCCTGTCCATTAAGGTGGACTCATAACCCCAAGTCAACTCCAAATGCCCTAAGACAGGTTCCCTTGCACACCCACCCAGAAGGCTGTCCCTTAGGCCATCTACCCCTTGGCAATGACCCTCTGGTCCTCTTCCCCTGTTCCAGCCAGGACCTTTCTTCCATCCCATATGTCCCCAGAGTTCTGGCCTCATGGGTAGAGGATTCACATTCATCTTAGCCACAGGTGGCTCCTGTCAATAGCATCTAGGATTCAAGGAGTGATACAGGGTGGACTCATCCCTCTCCAAAGCTAACTGGGAACTCAGTACTATTCTAGCAGCTCCAGGCTTCATGGATCAGTGGCTGTTCCAGCCCACAGTAGCAGGTCATCATTGGAGGCCTGCTGTCCTGTCTACTCTCATACTTACACAGCCTTATCCTCAGAGGCAACAGCCTGCAATTGTGGACAGCCACCTGACAGTAATGACAGGTGGCCTTGTGGGGCCACAGGTCTCTCTGCAGGCTACCTTTCAACAGAGGGGATAATGGGGCTGAGGTTCTGTAAACTATCCTACCACCTGGGAGCCTGGAATGGCTGTCCCTTGACTGGGCTTTGCAAGCATGGGAATCTATGCCTTGGCCTTGGAAGGGGCTCAGGATTGAGTCACTGTTGACCTATGTATCAGAATCAGACACTATGTGGGTGGGGCCCAAGTGTTGGGTGATTTCCTGGAGGCCTGGTTGGCTTTTCTGATCGTGGACTTATACACTTTTCTCACCTTCCTCCCAGTCAACGCAGTGTGCCCTGAGGCTGGGCTTTTCCTAGACCCCAAAATGCAACCACCTACTGAGAGCCAGGTGACCTACCTGCGACAGATCATGGCAGCTGGCCTGGGTGACCACCTAGCCCGCAGGGTTCAGAATGAGGATCTGCTAGACCCCAAGTGGAAGAACGCCTACAAGGTGAGACATAGGTCTGCTTTTTGCAACTGTCCCCGTGTCCTCTGAGAAAGCCCCACCAAAGAGCAATTGAAGTCTGTTGTTTGCTGGAGGTTAAGATATCACCCTAAGCTTCAAGGTTACTTTCTAGAGATGCATTTTACACCATAAAGGCAACTCCCTGGCTTTACTATGTTCAGCATCAGCACGGTCAACTGAGACAGTTTTCTCTGCCCTGGAGACACCCAAGCCTTCTTTCTACCCATCGCCCAGAGTCTCTGGCTTTCCTGTGCTAACCGCTTCACCAGGAGGACCCATGTGGTGCTTGGTGTGTTGGGGCTACCTCCCTCCCAGCATTGCGTTTTTGAGGTCTACCCACCAGGGTCTCACCTCTGGTTTTTGAAACAGGTGATCCACCTGCCTCAGCCTACCAAGTGCTAGGGTTCCAGGCTATGCCCCCACATGGAGATTGTGTTTTACTTTGTGCCTTTGTGTATGGTGCAGTGGTGCATGTATGGAAATCAGGATTTCAGGAATCTTTTTTTCTCCTTCCACTTTATGGGTCCCAGGGAATGAACTCACATTACCAGGCTTGGTGGCAGGTGCCTTTATACACTGAGCCATCTCACTAGGCTCTAGCTCCATGTTTTATTTTAGTGTGTAGAGGTACACATGTACAGGTAGACATCCAACAGGTCATTAGGCTTTCATGGCAAGTGTTTTTATTCATTGAGCCATCTTCCCGGCCCCATGCTTCAGCTCTGTTGATGGTCAAGGAGTAATGTATCCTCGGTAATATCTGGTCATTGTCTCTCTGGCTTGATGGTTGGATCCTGAAGGTTGGACTTGAAGGGCCCAGAGAGCTCAGACTTTTCTCTGACCTGAGCCTCCATCCACCTCTCTCTGCAGACCCCTCTCTTAGATGACCCTGTCTTCATCCATCCCAGCTCCGTACTCTTCAGAGAGCTACCTGAGTTTGTGGTCTACCAGGAAATAGTGGAGACCACCAAAATGTACATGAAAGGTACTGTGTAGTGGCCGGGACTCATGTCACAGGGTGATACCAGTGGGTCCTGTCTGGGAAAGCATGTGAGATCTGACTGTGCCCTCTACTGGCCTCAGGTGTCTCCATTGTGGAAATCCAGTGGATCCCATCGCTGCTGCCCTCCTATTGCCAGTTCGATGCACCCCTGGAGGAGCCAGCCCCCACTTACTGTGCAGAGTCAGGACGGGTGCTGTGCCACCGGGCCAGTGTATTCTGTAAGTCAGGGACACTTCCTTGGTGACCTGGCCACCTGTAACCATGAGCTTCTTAGACTCATCAGTCCGTGCCCTACTCTTGGACATGTGTCTGAGGATGTCACCCCAGCCAGCCCTCATGCTCTGATGGGCTTGGGAGGATGCGTGTAACATGGGCCTTTTATCACGTTCCCATCTTCCAGACCGCGTGGGCTGGCCACTCCCTGCCGTCCAGGTGGACTTTCCTGAAGGCATTGACCGCTACAAGTACTTTGCACGGTTTCTGCTGGAGGGACAGGTAGGTGCTTGAGCTACCTGTGGCTTGATTCCTAGGTGTCATGAACTGTAGGCCCCCATTCAACCAGTGTGTGCTCTCTCACTAGGTCTTCCACAAGCTGGTTTCATTCAAGAGCTGCCTGCTGTCTAGCCCCAGCACCATGCTGAAGACTTGGGCCAGGTAAAAGAGTATATTCCTAGACTGTTAAGGCAGGCAGTGGCAGAGAGGCTCCTTTGTTAGTCATGTATGCTAGAGATGTGACAACTATAGGAGCCTCCTTTATTCTGGAGCTATCAGTGAGCCTAGCACATCTTACACCTCTGAAAGATGCAGGGGCCCCTATACCACTATCCAGGAATCTCCCTACCTGTCTCTCTACTGGTGGCTGTATCATTCCAATCTTGCCTCTTCCTCTTGTCTGTGTCCCCTCCTTATATGGGCTCCAGTCTTGGTGGTAGGGACCAACCTAGTCCACTGTACCCTGATGATCTGGAACATCCATGTACCCTAAGGAGCTGGTTGGACATGAGTAGGGAAGAGTGCTGGTGAACCCTACATGCTGCCACTGTGTACAAGAGGCTTTCTGTGCTGAATGATAGGTCCCACTCATCAGCTGTCCACTCATCCCTTCTGGCTTAGTCAGCTGCCCCCCTTTCCACAGGCTGCAACCAAGGACGGAGAGCCTACTGAAAGCCCTTGTGGCTGAGAAGGCAGACTCCCGTGATGCCCTGCTGGCTGCATGGAAGAAAAACCCCAGATGTGAGTGTGACCAGACTGAGGTGGGGGGATGGTGCTCACTCAGGGGAAGGACCTAACCATACCATAGGCCATGGTAGTCTGACCAACCAAGCAAGTCCCTGGCCTGATACTCTAACCCTGACCACCTCTTCCTGCAGACCTGCTGGCTGAATACTGTGAGTGGCTCCCAAAGGCTATGCACACTGACGTTGAGAAGAGCTGGCCCCCCATCACTGACTGTTGACCTCACACCCAGCTACACAGTCAGCCGGCATCTACGCTGGTACTAGGAGACTTGCTGTGGCCCAGGAAGCCCTTTTTGACCTTGACCCAACCCAGAGCCAAGTTTGCTGCTGCACTGACCATAAGTGCCTTCTTCACTATTCCAACGAGAGAGAGAGGGTTTGTCTCTCTCCAGATGACATAAGCGCTTGTGGATGTACAGGACTACACCGGGATGTAGTGAGATATTCACTCTGTCCGTACCTGTTGCACTGACCATGCCCACTAGGGGGTGGGAACAGGTACAGATGTGACCTGGGGGAACTAGGTCTGGGGACTAGAACCTGCTGGCATTCATCTGTCTGTTGTAAGTTATTTCTCCCTGAATAAACATCTATTCAGCCTGTCTGTTTTCCCTGATACCGGGACAGGAAAGTGGACCATTTCCCCAGTGTACCTGTCCAGCCCCATAGCATCTTGGGCAGCAGGTGCATTTCAGACTTGTGTGACCCAGGGATTTTTCCTGAAAGGTTGGCCCCAGGTAAGGGATGAATATAGCCCAGAGCCCTGATTACAAGGGTCCTGCTTTGGCATCCACAGACAGCAAGTTCTGTCTTTTTGTTGTTGTTTTTGGTTTTTTGTTTGTTTGTTTGTTTGTTTTCTTATTTCAAGACAGGGTTTCTCTGTGTATCCTTGGCTGTCCTGGAAACCAGGCTGTCCTCAATTCAGAGAGACCCACCTGCCTCTGCTTCCCCAGTGCTGGGATTAAAGGCTATCACCTGTCATGAAGTGGACAATTTTCAGAAGATGAAATGGAAGTGGCCTGCAACATATTCAGCCAGGACTTATGAGATGGTCCAGATGGCACTGGCTACTCTCCTAGAGGACCTGCATTGGATTCTCAGCACCCACATGGTGACTAACAACCATCTGTAACTTCAGTTCCAGAAGGTCCAATTCCCTCTTCTGGCCTGTGCAGGCATTGTACACATTGTCCACAGATAAACACATAAATAATAAAAGTAAAATCCAACCTTATGAGTCATCAGAGAATGCCAGTCAGAACTACATGAGAGGTTGGAGAGATAGCTCAGGGTTAAGAGCACTTGCTTTCACAGAGGACCAACCTGGGTACGGTTGTCAGTTCCCACATGGCTGCTCATAACCATCTGTATCTTCAGTTCCAGGGGAATTACATGAGATTTTACCGCTGTCAAAATGGCTTTGTGCATGAAAATAGCAAATGAGCTGGGTGTAGTGGTTCACACCTTTAATCCTAGTACTGGGAGGCAGAAGGAGGGAGGTGGAACTATTGAGTTCTGGCATAGTATTGGGAATGGAAACCAGTCCAGTCACTGTGGAAATTAATATGGAGGCACCTCAGAACTCTAGAAAGATCTACCTAAAGACCCAACAATGCCACTTCTGGGCATTTACCAAGGCAACACACAAACACTAAGCTGCACAACCAGCCTGGTTCCCATCAAGGCAAAGAATGGGTAAAGAAAATATGGTTTATGTAAGGAGGGGAGTCTTTGAGCCATTAAGGAAAACAACTGGAGATTATCCTACTAAACAGATTAAGCCAACCGCAGAAAGACAAATGCTTTACTTTCTCTTATTTGTGGGCCCTAGACTTCATATAAAACCATACATCCTATGGGTGATGTGAAAGGAAAACTGAGGAGGAAAGGGGACTAACAGGAGGAGAGGATTGTGGAAAAGGGGGTGTTCCCAAAACATAGGCTGTGTGAAAACTGCCCTATGAAAATCTGTCATTTTTTTTTTAAGAGGGGAGGAGTCTGGGTTTTGGTTTTGAGACAGGGTCTGGTTATGTAGCCCTGACTTCGAACTCTATGTGAGGTCAGGCTGGCCCCAGATCCCTAGAAAAGACTGCCTCTGCCTCCCCAAGACCTTGGGAATTGAACTTGGATCAGTTGTCAGTCTTGGTGGCAATTTCCTTTATCCAGTGTGTCATCTTGAAGGCCCTTGTTTCCTACTTTTTCATTTTGAAGGAGGGTCTTATGTCGACCAGGCTGCTCACAATCCTGCCTCCACCTCCCAAGAGCTAGGATAACTGGTGTGTGTCACCACACTTGACTCAGACAACCTTACACTTCTGGGTGATGAGGGAACAGTGTGCAGTAGGTAGCACTGCTGGCCCAATACCATTTTCCCTTGAGCTTGGGCACTAACTCCTGGCCTGCTGTTTACCTCATCGAAATCATCCCATAAACCCTTACTTTGTCCAGGAATGTTCCCAAGCTGTGGGAGGGGCAACTAGGAGACCTGGTCCTCCAACCTCCACTTACTGGCATCTATGAATAAACAATCTTTCCCCAACCCTGCTCCAGTGATGAGCATTCCAGTGGTTATAGAGGCCTACCTTGGTCACAAGGGAGATGGCTCAGCCTCTCAATCAATAGTTCCCTTAGAAGTTAAAGCACCAAGGACTGGACTTGTAGCCTAGGGTACCGACCCCAGTGCCACACAAGCCGAGGCAGGAGCACCTCCACGTTTGCAAATGAAAAAGCGTCTCATAGCCCAGGTTAGCCTCAAACACTCCTCGGGTGCTGGGATGACAGGCATGCGCCACCATGCCTGCCTTTATGCAGTGCTAGCTATTTCGAGGTAAGAACTCTACAAACCGAGCTACACATCAGTGTTCAAATGTGTTTAAGTACAGGTTTTCCACCTCATGTTGTCGAAGTAGAGGGCAGAAAGTCGGGGGCCATATGTGTGCTATACGTTAGTGACAAGCTTCAGAGTGGCAGAACAAGCCTAAGGGGAATGACTAAACAAAGCACGCCCACCCCACCCCAGAGTATAGGCTATGTTAGCCAGCTGCCTACAGAATCGGCTAGAAAACACTCCACCTCACCCCACTTCCCGGCCTCCTCCCTGCACCTCCAGCCTGCAAAACTTCACGTGGCCGCTAGACGGAGCCTTTAAAACACTGATGATAGAGCCAAGTCCCTTTCCTCTGGCCTTCGGGGGCTTCCAAGCCTCAGTTCTACCATGGTTCTGCCCTCATTCACTGAAGTCCAGACACCGGGCAGCTTTCTGGTGTTTTCATCTCTAAGCTCCTGCTCTGCGCTCAAGGAATGTGCCCGCGCCGGCTCCGGATCATGCGGATCTCGTGGATGTCCCCGCAGTTCTGTGCATCATCATAAAACATCCCTGGGATTTCTAGTGTTAGCCTCGAATTGGAATTAGAGTTCCAGAAAGGCTGAGACTCCTTGCGTGGTCTTGGCAAGATTGTTGGGCTACTTGATATTCTATTTGGACACACTACGGATGCTCAGTGCGTGCACATTACACCAATAGGCGTTCAGTAGCCGCTGGTTATAGGACCTCCTTAGAAATGCAGTGTTTTCCTCCTGCTCCATTCACAAGTAACTACAGGAGTTGATTTACAAATGCTGATTCCGGCCATCCTTGCAAAGTCAGTCTGCCCGGTAGGGCCCTTTCTGGGGCGCCGGTTCCCCACGTGGTAGGAAAGGAGGCCTTGCTTTCCGACCTAATTTACTGGAGGGCTTAAAAGAAAACAGAGTGGAGATGCCGGGGATTGAACCCGGGGCCTCATACATGCAAAGCATGCGCTCTACCACTGAGCTACATCCCCTTGCTAAGAAGGAGATTTTCCGGAATAGTGATGGTTATCAAACACACACTGCTGCGAAGTTTTCCGTCTCTGCTCATGATGTGAGCGCTATAAACTGAGATGTCAGTCAGAGAGAATAGAAGGAGAGGGAAAGAAACATAGATGAAAGAGAGAAAGAGCAGGAGAAGAGGGACACGGAAAAGAAGAGATCGGGTGACAGCCTCTCTGTGTATCCGTCTATAGCAACTTGTCTGGAAAATACCTACTAAGGCTCGTCCTCGTTAGTATAGTGGTGAGTATCCCCGCCTGTCACGCGGGAGACCGGGGTTCGATTCCCCGACGGGGAGGCCATAAAGGTGGTTTTGTATTTTAGAAGTCCTAGCCTCATTCACCATGGATCTGAGCAAGAAAAAAAAAAAAAAAAAAAAAAAAAAAACCTGTGCTCCTTCACTATGGACTCGGTCATGGATTTGTGATTATTATGTGATACCCATGTGTTTGGTGGGTCATTATGTGTTATCGTGTAGATAAAGGCTTATAGGGGGGTGAATACATAGACTTGAATTAGAGCTACAGCAAATTCTAGGAAAGTAAGGAAAACTAGGATAATAAATGTGATTGTAGCAGTTGATGGGCTAATAGTTGTAAGAATTAGTGTGGCCTTTCCAATAAAATGCATAAGTAGGTGTCCTGCAGTGGTATTAGCTGTTAGACGAACTGCAAGGGCTAATAAATAGGCTAATAGTTTGGATAATGGTAAGTATAGGAATTAGTGAAATAGGGGTTCCTTGAGGTAGAAAGCGGGCTAATGAGTCTTTTATTTTGTGATGAAACCCTGAAATTATGATCCCTGCTCATAGTGGGATTGCTATTCCAAGATTTATAGATAATTGAGTTGTTGGGACAAATGTGTGGGGCAATAAGCCTAGAAGGTTTGTTGACCCAATAAATATAATTAGGGATACTAGCATTAAAGGTCAGGTTCATCCTTTTGGTGAGTGAATCATCATTATTTGTTTAGTAATTAATTTAATTAATCATTCTTGAAATGTGTGGAAGCGGTTACTTACTAAGCATTTGGAAGATGTTAATAGTATTGAAGGAAAAATTATGATAGCAATTACAATAGGGAGACCTATTATTTTTGTGGTTAAAAAAGAAGCGAATAAATTTTCATTCATTTGGATTCTCGGGGTTATTTGATTTTGTGTGTTTTAGATGTTTATTGGAGGGGTTAGTAGGAAATTTTTGCAAATAAATTTTTAATTGAATTAGGATGAAAAGTATAATCGTAGAGGCTAGGACAGTGATAAATCATGTAGATATGTCTAATTGTGGAACATCATTATGGAGATGTCATATCTCTAACTTTAACTGAAAAAGTTAACCCTCTAAGCTTCACAATGACATTAAATTATTGATACAGTTCAGTTTTCAAAGCATTTAAATGGGACTATCTCTGTGTTTAGATCTGCAGTTTCCTGAGCATTGGGCATAGAATAACCCTAGATGGTTGGATGAGATTTTAGCTTAGTTTAGGCGTCCTGGAATTGCATCGGTTTTGGGGCCTAGGGATGATACAGCTCATGAGTGAAGTACATCTTCAGATGAAATTAATATACAAATAGGTAATTCTATTGGTAATACTACTCAGTTATCAACTTCTAGAAGTCGAAGTTCTCCAGGCTTAAGATCATTTGCTGGAATCATGTAAGAGTCAAAGCACAGGTCTTCATATCCTGAATACTCATAGCTTCAGCATCATTGATGTCCTATGGTTTTACTGTTGGTACTGGGTTAT